ACGCAGCGTGAAGTAAACAAAGTAAATGCACACGGAAAAGGTGACCCAGATTTTTCTTTAATTGGGCAAATTCATTTAATATATTTTTATCAAAAAACTATATTTTAAAATGTTAACGTTACGTTTCCACTCAATGCTACAAATCAGATTTGATTATTATTACGGTTCCAGCCTAGTCGATAGTTGCTCATGACTGAAGTTAAAAACGAACGATAACAAAATGTAGATATTGAATTTACGATACTATCCGTCCGTTTAAAAGAAATGTCCAATTTCTTTCGTTACAGGTGTCTGTTCAATGTCCGTTGAATGCAGTTGGAAAGCTTTCTTGGAGAAACACTGAAGAGTGCCCTGAGTGCCCATATATTTACTGCTACATTTGATACAGAACATTAAAAGCACATGCACTAGTTAAAATCTTTTTTTTTTCTGATGCAGCCTTAAGCAAAGTGTCAAATATTATGACCCTGAGTTATACATTGTTACAGTAGCTCTTCGCTTACATTTTGAGAATAAAATGTTTATGTAATAAAGGTCAATCGTACCACTTATTGTGTTTGAACTTGTTCTCTTTGTTCATAGTATCTGAGTAAGCGGACCTAAAAGAGGACACCAATATTGGGGTCTGGTCTCTCTCGCGGCGATGTGTGCTAGTCGGACCAGCGTTAGAACGTGCTTGCTCCACAACTCACATAGTCTTTATAAACCCATGAAGTAAAAAATAAATGAATAGATAAATAAAATCTATGAGAAATAACGCAATTCTGTTAATTAGTATCTTTTTGCAAACCGTTCTTTTTAGCATCTTTAATACATGTATTTAAATTAAGACGTCAAGTGTAAAAGTACGGTAGGTATACACCTGTCTTGATTTTTTTTGTACTACAACTTGAAATACAACTTCTTAATCCAATTTTGTCTGCAAAATTAATTTTTAAGAGAGAGTTGGGGACGAGATACAATGGGGAAAAGGCCTAACAGTAAAGGGAGATATTTTTGAAACAGCGTGTTTAAAATTTGGTTAAGCCACGATCCCCAGCGTATTGTGCTTTTGTTGTCACATCTTTGTCTTCTCTAACACAATCTTCAGCCTGCAATCTTCCATACCTGTCGCAGTATTGTTATTCAAATAAGACCAATCACATGCGACAACTATTCAAGATGCCACGATGGAAGACAGATTTTCAGGCAGACTGTGAAGATTTCCGTGAATGCAACATGATATATCCAGCGCTTCCTGATTGAATTCTCCGCATCAGCGTGTAAGTAGCCTACAGTTTGTATGTGACTTTTCTCGCTACTGTATGTGACAAATACGCATAACACTTTCTAGTAAGATGGAGTATTTCAAAATTGAACCCTTGTGTCAAATTCTCTGCTTTTTATCTAATCACTCAGAAGGCATGGGCGTTTTCACTGTTTGTGTCTTAGCTGTTTATTTGTCGCTTGTAGATGCTGTATTTTAGCGATATTTATTCTTGACATTTGATTCTAATAGAACTTGGTACATGAACTTTCGTAAACAGCATAAATAATGATTATAAGTGACGTTTGGTTATCGCACCTTCAAGGGCAATATGACCTAATATTGCTACAGATGTACAAACATGTTTAATGCAGTGTAATTGTGGTTCCCTGTATATTCTCGAATGAAATCAACAGAAGAAACCTGTGAATTTCTTATTTTTGTCCATTGTTTTGTTCTTGCACGCTGCCCTGGTATACGCAATACACGAAATTTTAAGTGTATTGTCACAACGCTGACTTAAGCGCTGTGGAATAAATGATTTCTTATCTAACTTAATACTTAATTTCTAATTTCAGTCGTCCGGGCATACGAGTGATAGAGATGAAGATCGTTTCATAGGGGGAAATAACAACAGTTCAAATGCACTTCTAATGGTCAATAATGTGGATGTATGTTATACGAATGCGGTGTACATGTACGGCGACACTTTCCAGAATGCGCTAGTAGTGAAGTAGTAAAGGACGGGCTGATTAAATGAGAACTCACTTTGATTACTTGAGATCATAGTGTCTACTCAACGTACGTTTGAAACATAACCTATCAAAACTTAAATTGGTACAGACCATTTATATTTATAGGGTGTTTAAAAATATGACGGTGCAAATAGAAATTGTAACTAATTCTACTGTTTGCGAGATTTCTAAATATTTTGATTAACTTAAAATCTATGTGCCAGGGTTAAAGGGTTGTAATTACATCAAAGTAGGAATGTTGAATTCATGAAACAGGGACAATGTGACTGGAATAGTAGTCCTAGAAATGGCATAATCATTGTCCTATTCACATTATTTCTTGGTGATGAAGTTCGATTACTTTTTAATGGGTAAAAGACAAGAAGAATGGTTAAGGAACCGAAGTTTCTGTCTACGTTTGTAACATTACCCAGCGAAACTTTAATTGGTACAAAACATTTACTGATATTAATTGGGCCTTCTAAACGGTAACGGAACGTTGCGAAATTGTTGCTAATTCCGACAATTTTGCGAGATTTTGACATTTTTTTATCTAAAATTTTATGCGAGACAAACTTTGTCGCTCCTATGGATATGGCTTTTCCGGAGTCTGTAAGGATCATTCCCTCTGTGTTACTATATAATATATGAGTCCATTCACAACAGATGATCCGCCGACTTATATGGCCGACCCCTCTAAAAACAATGCAGCGTAATTCCCTGATGGTCTTCCCGCCTCCAGAGGCTCCGAGATTTAACTGCTAGGCCCCTTCACCGAAGGCGTGTGTGGAGGTGGGGAGACCATCAGGTAATTAGTCGGCAGTGCTTTTAAGTGTATCGGCCCTATTTAGTTTGCAGATATGTAAGTTCCCGGATCAAGTTGTTCTGAGTGCGTTCTATGGTATACAGTTTTGATCAGTTTACAGATTTTATTTGTACTCCGACGAAAATGGTAAATAGATTATTATTCCTTATACGGTCAAATGTTTGCAAAATTTTAGCGTCCTTGGTATAACACATTTAAATCGTATTACCTTGAAATTTGAGTTTTATGTTCATTCATACATGTATCATTATTAGAACAAAATGAATAAATCCTGACCAAATCTAAACAACTTGGGATATTTGTACCCTGATTTACTTTCATATGTTCTATCCTTGCTGGAAATAAAATTTTAATAGTTACCGTTCCATTTTGTTCATCTCGACCTCAGTGTCGCCAGTCGTGATTCTTGGGCTATGGGGCTGAAGGGTTTCACCCGCATAAAATGAAATTTTACAGTCAGTGCAGTTGAATCTTATTTTACAAAATGTGACTTCTCTATTATTCGATACTGTTACCTCCTGGTTCCCAGTCTAGCACGCTATCGGTTTCTCTATTCCCCCAAGCAACCCCTCTGAATTTTGGATCTTCCCTTTCTAGTTATGGGACGAATATTCTTTTTTTTTTTCTGCAAAATGCGACTTCCCTGGGAATCGATCCTGTCACCTTCTGCTTCCCAGTCTACCACGCTATCGGTTTCTCTGTTCCCCCAACCACCCTCCCTAAACTTTCGATCTTTCCTTTATAGTTATGGGGCGAATATTCTTTCTTTTTTTCTGTAAAATGCGACTTCCCTGAAATTCGATCTTGTCACCTTCTGGTTTCCAGTCTAGCACGCTATCGGTTCTCTATTCCCCCAACCACCCACCCTAAACTTTCGATCTTCCCTTTATAGTTAAAGATGGCAAAGACATACTTATGACAAATTTCAAGAAAAAATCTCATCGATAAGAGGCACGGCTATAAATTTGTAATCCAAAGTGGCAAAAAATGTACCACTAAAATTTTGTCCAGAAACACATTAGAGAACCATTCTTGAAGAAAAATATTGAAGAACTCGCAGATGTTTCTTGCTGGACAGCAATGCTTTTATTCAGAAGACTACACGTATCAGTTCACATATTCTATATCTTTTTGTAAACACAGTGATAACCAGAGAAGTCAAATGAAGTACTGTAGGCATGTGTATACTAAAAATGCAGAAACGTTTTGTCTCGAAAAAAATTAGTAAGGTACTCTCAAAAAAGTGCTCTCTACGCAAAATTCAATTTTTGTACGTCACGTGCGTAGTAATATACTCTCCAATCAGAGACCGTTAACCATAACTGCAACACGTATACTTTCGCATTTTCCTTTGCGTGGAAAACACGAACTTTGGGAACTTTTGGTTGATAAGCCTCCGTGAAGAAAGTACATTAAAACGCCATTACCCTTCAATTAAGCACACTGTGCATACAACTAAAACTTTGTATTTTCACCTTGTTTACATACAAAAACTTTCCAAAGTATTAAATGTTCAGATAAGGTGTTAGCTAATAACTCCTATACGAGGGTCATGTTTTCTGTTACATGAATACTACTATCTCTTTATTGTGGCGTTTGAACAGAACATTGCACATAGCTCAGATAGGAATATCTCTACATAGACACCGCAGACGTAAAAATGGCAATATGCAGCAAAAATGTAACCGAATAAAAAGATTTGAGCAAAAATATCGTACATAAATACCCAGTAACTGTCAAGTCAAAATAAGAACCTTCTTCATGAATTGTCACATCACAGAATAAGGCCTTCTGAAAATACAAATCCTTGTTTCAATTTTTGAATTAAAGTAAGAAGAAATTTACATCATTGTTCAATGGAAACCGCTCAAATCGCACCAACCCCCGACCCCATTTTAAATATTTCCTAAATGATAACCGAAACCTTAATCTCTGATGACTTAAATCATCCAGGACACACTATAACCTGCAGTGAATATCAATCAGTATTTTCTTGGTAAATCCATCCAAAGTTTTGTAAACAATGTTGATAAAAGAGATGTCATTTTTGGAATAAAAAATTACCTTTATCATATAACCCACCTCAAAAGATGAAAGCTTTGAAATACTTACAATATTAAAGAGATTGATAAAACTAAATACATTTTTTACATCAGGCTTGTTGAGAAAAGAGGTAAGCACCAATAACAATATAAAACAGACTAAGATGCATCTTACCACTTGCGTAAGAGACTAAAATAACACAGACAGTACTAAGACACAATTCATACTATTCGTCAGCACTGTCATCTAAATCTAATGTACAATAACTTGATTTGCACTTTGCCTCTGATGAAAAACTATTAAAATCTAAAGACTAACAAAATGTACTAGCTTGTTTAACTAATAATATGGCTTAATTTGAGGCCTGCTCATTTTTGTTCAGTTTTCTATTATTCTTTCACATGCTCGGCGCCAGTGAAAGCTATATACTATAACCAACACACACCATTTAATTACTATGTCATTTTTGACAGCTGGTTTCTCAAACCAAATAGACACTGTATGTGTACAACTATCAACTTAACCATGTGTTGAATAGATAATATGGGGCAGTCATCCTATACTGTATTGTGGTAATGGAATGAGAAAATCATCAACCTTAACATAAAAACAAATGATCAATTTTTTAGATCTTGTATGGAAATCTTTCACTTGTAATTGGGCCAAGTTTTCATAGTCCTTCCCACACATGGTATGCATTCTATGCAATAGCTGGTGAGTCCATGAAACGGCATAAGAGGAAGAGTTCCTCTACTATTTCAATTAAAAACCTAACGCCATTCTTTATACTGACAAAAGAGAATGATTAAGACTTGGCTAATCATCAGTATTTTCTTTTCACTGTACCTAGAACAGTTATAGTGGTTATAATATGTACATTATTACAACAGTATTAATAAGTGATACAACAAAAAATCTATACACAAATATCACAATAAACTACAAGAAATCTGGTTTCTTCAAACTATACATTTATACAACTGTTTTGAGTAAAATAAGCTTTTTTAGCACTGATGTTATTGTGATTCTCTCTCCTCCAGATAAGACTTTGAAACTGGGATCAGGATGCACAGCACACACACACTACTGCTTTGTCAAAATAATCAGTGAACATCTTTTTATCTTGTATATTCAAAAATCTATCTTCAGATGTATTGCCAGTTTGCATGATGAAACATATTGAAAGATCATAACTTCATTATCTTTGCTGTTGCATTTGAACATGTCATAAGCCTGAGAAAGGGTTAGACAAATCCAAAGTTCCAAATGGCCATGTTTAGCTATAATTAGTGTCTGAACTGAGCATCTGAGCCTTCAAAGTCAACCAGTGGAGCAAGTGATATCACACACAAAATACTTTGCACATCAATAGCTAGCAAATACACAAGCTGTGTACCTTGAAACTGAGGTATAATATTTCAAAATGTCTCTTATATTTATGCACTCACACTATCATAGGTAAATAATTTTACATGACATTTCGATTTTTTTCCAAACAGAATCATGATTTTGTCCAATCACATGCCTGCTTATTTTCTACCATGTTTCTGCCAACCAATCGTGCCAGAAAGTGGCACGACACCAATGTCTGTAAAAGCCAAACATCTCCCCATTTTAAAAGATAAATTAATGCATTGGAAAGAAATGGACCATTTGGATGTTCTATCTGACCATTGTGACCAATAAGATTTTCTGAAACTAATCAATCAGCTGAAAATTCAAACTAACCAAATAAGGAGAGAAATAAGCCAATGGCAGGCAATGGCACATATCACACATGGCAGACAAAACAAATCTCATGTGTAACTCCCAAACATTCAGAAGCACAATAAATACTGACATGCTTTATATGATGATAAATATACACAAATATCCTCTTTATGTATAGTAACACCAGTCAAAAGACAACTGATATAACTCCAATGAGACATTAATATCTTATGATATGATAGAATAATAATTATTTTGTCTTTTTTTGTGATGTTAAGCATGTCATATTGTAAGTTGACATTTTTGCAAGTTCTTTGCATTGTTGCTGCATTACTGAAGTAATCCAGAATCTAGTAAAAGATAAAGGGGTAAATTATCATTTATTTTGTTCAGTTTCTTGTAGTCTATGCCAGCTGAAGTTCTACGGTACCTTGATCTCCTTGTTAACATCCTACCATTATAACAAGAATAAATGCAGGTTGCTCTACTATGAAACTTTTCCTAAAATTGCTGCAAAATTTCCTGTACCTTCTACATGTACAAAATCAAAGAACGCATTGTCCTTCAACCAGAATCCAGATCTGCTGTAAAAGTTCCATGTGTAGAGGGTGCCACTGTTTTTCCTGGCACAAGTGTATAGATGGCGCTGCAGGTGCTCTCCTTAGTCCTGTCCCAAGAAAATCCTTCCATTCAAATTTCAATATCCTCATATGCACATATACCTGGTGGTAACAGTGTTCTGTTCCCTATTTAGTCACAAAAATTGTGAATCCACAAAACCTGCTTCCTTTATCTGCCTTTATCGCTGCTGTTGCTCTCAAAGAAAGCACCGCAATCAATCGTGAAAGATGGTGCTGCAATAGCTTTCACAAGACAGACCATGAAGTGCACCTTTAGCTGGGGTGAATCAAGTACATTTGCACTGTTAAAAGTGATGTGAAAATCCTGTTGATTTTTGAAAATAACCTTTATACACATGTCTCCACTGCAGATGGGGCTGCAGGTTGCCCTCATCAAAAAATGTCTTATTACTTGCACCTTGAAATGTTGAGACTATGGTGAATTTTCTTAAGTCTTGATGGGAATTTTCTTGATCTACATGGGAATTTTCAGCTCCTGATATGTGCTTATAGAGATATTTTCTTTAAAATAGAGTATCCCCTTGTGTTGTTTTGAGAATCAGTTTTTTTTTATGAAAAATTCTGAAAATGGCACTTCTCAGTTCAAGTCCTAACTGATAGTTTCCGCCTGGAAAGTTTTGATCTGGAAAAAAATGAATAAACAAAATATATTACCATACATCTGTAAGTGTTTTGTTATTAATTTAATTTCTACATGAGTAATTGTGACATATCTTTATACCATGACCACTGCAATGGCTATGTCACTTGATTTAAAAAGTGCTCAAACTAAAAGCCTATACTTAACTGATCTGTTCCGCTAGAAGTGGGATTATGGCATAGAGCCTACCTGTATGTACCTGATCTGTCCTGCTAGAAGTGGGTTTATGGCACAGAGCCTACCTACCTACCTACCTGATCTAGCTGTCCTGCTAGAGGTGGGTTTATGGCATAAAGCCTGCCTACCTGATCTGTCCCGCTAGAAGTGGGTCTATGGCATAAAGCCTGCCTACCTAATCTGTCCTGCTAGAAGTGGGTTTATGGCATAAAACCTACTTACCTGATCTGTCCCGCTAGAAGTGGGTTTATGGCATAGAGCCAGTCATGGAAGTCTTTGTCATCAAGACTTTGGATTAGGAAGCCACGGTGCTTGGTCATCACTGAGAAAGTGTTCAATGTCTGAAAATACCCACAGGAAAAATTATCAAACTTGGATAGGAATTGTCATTGGAATAGGGTCAAAGTCATTGCGGAAAATATACAGATGCAGAAATAAATGAATTATTCAAAAATAATTCAAAGAACAGGTAACTTCATACAGTGCACCAAATCACATAAGGAGGATGGGGAGTTTGAGAGCCTTCAGTGACTACACGCTATAACTAAAACTGGAGAGAAATGCCCCACCCTGTCCATCCCCAGTTAGGGTTTGCCTCATCAAAAGCAGCACACTGTTTTTTACTAGTGAAGTCCAGCTTAGTGACCAGGCTGTAACTGACCTTCAGCATGGCCTGCTGGTCCTCACTGTAGGTGATCTCTGCTGTGGTCAGGTTGATGAGACCGCGTTCCACAGGGTCTTTCTCACTGTTGTAGATGTACACATAGGGTCTACGTACAGCCTGGAACACAGGTATTGAGGGAAATGTTATTGTTATAGTAATTTATCTTAATAATTAAATTTATTGCAATAATGTTATAATTTCAAAATTTAACAAGTAGGCCTAATCAGGCATGGATGTGAGATGTTCTCCATATCTGCTGTAGTATACTAGTAGGTTTAATGTGAATGTAGGTTCAACAATGAATTTAAAAAAAATTATGCACAGACTGTTCAATAATCTATGTTTAGACATTCTATACATTTAACACAAACATCCCCACTTTTTTCTCTTTCTTTTTCTTGTTATTCAATTCTTTATCATTCACCAATAATGATCATTTCTGCTCATAAAAAACAACCAAAGCAAAACACCTCTCCATTTTAAAAGACCAATTAATTCATTTTAAAGAAATAAACCATTTGCATGTTCTATCTGACCAATAACATTTTCTAAAACAAATAAATCAGCTTAAAATTTAAACTAACCAATCGCATCACTGGAAAGAATAAGCCAATGGCAGGCAATGGCACACATCACACATGGCAGACAAACAAACAAACAAACAAACAAACAAACAAACTACATGTACTGACCACAAATCTCTTGATCCAACCACTGGTCTTCTCCTCCAGGAAGTTTAGGTAGCCTTTCCTGGACACTATTGGGCTGACACGAATCTCCTCCACCTCCGGGATCAGGAGCTCTTCGCCTTTCATTGGGGACCGATCTGACGCCTCCGAGGCGATGGAGTACATTGAGTAACTGGAGGAGGACTTCCCTACGTCCAGAGTCATGGGCCTACAGGAATAAATATAACCTTTATAAACTGTACAGTAATAAAAATAACCTTTATAAACTCTACAGTAATAAATATAACCTTTACAAAATAAATATAACCTTTATAAAATCTACAGTAATTAATGTAACCTTTATAAACTCTACAGGAATAAATATAACCTTTATAAACCCTACAGTAATAAATGTAGCCTTTATAAACTCTACAGGAATAAATATAACCTTTATAAACCCTACAGTAATAAATACAACCTTTATAAAATCTACAGTAATTAATATAACCTTTTTAAACCCTACAGTAATAAATATTACCTTTATAAACCCTACAGTAATAAATACAACCTTTATAAAATCTACAGTAATTAATATAACCTTTATAAACCCTACAGTAATAAATATAACCTTTATAAATTCTACAGTAATAAATATAACCTTTAAAAACCCTACAGTAATAAATATAACCTTTATAAACTCTACAGTAATAAATATAACCTTTATAAGCCCTACAGTAA